GCCGACACTCCCCTTGCAACGTATCTATCTCCAACCCCAGAAAACTAAGGCACTGAGCCGGCCCTTCTGTCTTGTCCGCCGCCAGCGGGACCCCGAAATGGCCAGCCACCCACTTGACCGTTCTCAGCAAGTGTAGGCAGGCGGGGGAGCCCGCCGGTCCTACGCAGAGAAAATCGTCCAGGTAGTGTACCACAGCCCCACTCCCCGCCTCAACTTTGACCACCCATTCAAGAAAAGTACTAAACTTCTCAAAGTAGGCACAGGAGATAGCACAACCCATTGGAAGGCACAAATCCACAAAGTACCCCCCGTCGAAGAAACACCCCAGCAAGTGATGACACGCTGGGTGGACCGGAAGCAGCCGAAACGCTGCTTCGATATCCACCTTAGCCAACAGTGCTCCGCACCCGGCCTTCCTTACCAGCTCGACCGCCCTGTCGAATGATGCGTATGAGACCGAGCACAAGCCCTTGTCAATATCATCATTCACCGACTCTCCTTCCGGGTAGGAGAGGTGGTGAATGAGCCTGAATTTGCCCGGTTCCTTCTTGGGAACCACCCCGAGCGGGGAAACCCGCAGGCCCTCCAATGGAGGAGCCGGGAACGGCCCTGCCATCCTCCCCAATTTGACTTCCTTGCCCAGTTTTTTCCGCACCACACCCGGGAACTCAGCCACCGATTTAAGGTTGCGCCGAACCCCAGTCCCCCCCCGGTTCCGGAAAGGGATAAAGAACCCCTGACCAAACCCCGCCCGGAGCGCCACGGCATCTGCCTTATTACCGTAGCGGCTTAGCCACGGCTCCATCGCGTCTAGCCTCACCGGGGTTAGGCCCGGGGCAAGCGAAACTCCCCCTCCCCCCCCAGCCGAGGTAGGGACCCCGGTGTGCCCCGACTTCCCTTTTTTGAAGCACCGGTTGAGCCCGTGCGCGCCTCCGCAGCCCGAACACTCGTGCTTAAAGCGACAGGCGTTTCCCCATTTGCACTGGCCCTCGTTAAAGAGCCAGCAGAAGCCCTTTTGCATGGCGGCCGACGAGGCGGACTGCCCCTTTGCGCCGGCCGTGGGCTGAAATGGCTGCGCTTTTTGCGCCATCATCAGCTTCATCCAGAGAGGCAGGTCCATTTGATCCCACCGCATATCCGGATTAGCCGCCAAACGCTGCCGGAATTGCTCGTCATACCGCCACCATGCCAGTCCGCCATAGGTGCGATACGCCTCCCAAATGACATCCAAATAACAAAACAGGGAGGAGCACAGGCCCGGCGATTTCTCGCCCAGAACACTGGCCAACACGCAAAAGGCCCTCAGCCAGTTACCGAAAGACTTGGGAATCTTACGATACCGCTTCTTCTTCTCTTCCTCCTCCTTCTTCTCATCTTTTTTTTTTTATCGTCCTCTTTGAGATCAATAAAATCCTCCAAAGGGAGAAGAGAAAAGATCTCGCAGAAGTCACCCTTTCAGATTTTTTCCTTCACCTCCTGTTTGAGGTGGACCCCCAGCGGACCCGCAAACGACACATATGCGTGTTGCCTGGCCGCATCAGGAACCACCCCCCCCGTCAACTCAGCCCGCTCGCTCGTCGCCTCCGCCCCAGTAACCGTCACTGCAGTGTCCCCGCCCGAACTCTGTTCCGCGGAGGGAACCTCGCTCGGGCCCGCCACCCCGGCCCCCTGAGCCCAAACCTGCCCCACGCCGCCCTTTGTGGCATCCCCCGCTCCCAGTGAGTGGAGAAGTGCCTGAAGTGTATGAACCAATGCACTGGAGTGCAGAGAAGCAGAGGACTCACCGGCCAAGCCCCTCGACCCCGAAGCTCCTGGGGCTGCGTTGTGTACTGTCCCTTGACCAGGATGAGCGACATCCGTTAACGATCCTCCAACCGGGGAGCCAACC